AGTGTTCGAACATGTTCAGGTGCTAAAGGGGCACGACGTTCCCATGGAGATTGATCTTCACGACGAATGCCAATAACATGTTTTGAACGTAAAGGATAAAAAGATTTAAAGCGTAATAGAGCGCTTGATTTTAAACCAGGCCGAAGAAACATCTAAAATAATTTATTGATTATCTCATTGTTCTCAATAGTAATAATTAGGGGGAAAAGTATTTTTGATCACCAGACCTTTTATAACCGTGTGATATTGCATCATCTTTTCTTTGTTCGTTCTGCATCGCTTACATTTCGTCATCGTATATCTTCTACTAAATTGTACAAAATAGTGACAGATATTCATTTGAGGGTATGAGTGTAATGGTTATAATAGCCACACCCACGGTAAATAGGTATAAATATATTAAATGAATTTTGAAAAAACTAGTGATCAAAAGTATCTTTTTCGTGGTGATCAAAAATATTTCCATCCTAATAATTACATGCTCTAGATGCATGAACACTATCATTATACATAAAATATTAATCGATTAATAATATTTAAATTAAAATACAAATAAGTACAAAAGTAAGTCAATAAAACGTCAGAAGAAGCCGGACAGCTACAACTCCAGAATTTTGTCAAGTAGGTAAAGCATAGCAACGAGTTAGAATGATTTTATATATATGTATGAACTTTATTTGCTATTATTCATATTTTCATGATATATCTATTATAGTCATTAAAAGTTTCATTATTTCCAACTCCTAAAAAATTTCACTCAATATTCGTATTTTAGCGACAACTGTCCACTAATAAATCGCTTAGATAATATACGACGACACAATATATATATTACATAATGAACAGATAGAATAGAAGGTCAAACTTATAATCTAAGCTCAAAAATCAATTGATTATACTTGCATATAAATCATTCTGATTTTGCTATTGATCAATTAAACAATTACGTAGATCAATATACAATATTTTGTTTACTGATACGATAATTATCTTTAGGTTATGATCTATATATAGTATTTACATTTTTTATATGGCGTAATATACGCTTATTCATCCATGATAATATTATTGTACTTTGAATAATCAGAAAAAGGCGTAAGATAAAAATAATGGAAACAGAATTATTATATTTCTATTTATTCTTTATCTTTTGTAAGGAATTATTATTGGTTTAATATGAACTATTCCTTTTTATTTGAACTCGCATGGCTCTAAATGGAAAGAACAAGGGGAACATTTAACTTTACTTTTTATCCTATCATTTTATTTAATAGCATTAACTGAAGAATTAAAAATAAATTATTTATTTTCTTCTTGCTAGCCAAGATATGTGTTGATGGTTAGGCTTTAATGCTTTAGGTTAAGTATAATCGTTAATGGGCATCACCTTGTCAAACAGTTGGACAAACAACAGGACGTTTTATTGGTTTTACACTATTGATGACATTTGAATCAGCGAATTTTGCTAACCAATTTATTTGAAAACCATTTTCATTGACACAAAAATCTTATGGATTATTTACATTAACCCTTTGACTTCCGAATTATTTTTTGTTGGATTGAATTCAAGTAAATCGTTGGATTAGCTTCTTCTAGACATATGAGTATATGTTAGACATATCTCATGTGTTCTCACAGGTGATTAGTCGATTTGCGCAATGTAAGTTACATTGAACTCTATTAGGTTGAACGGAAATTTTAACTGTTGAAGTTTATTAATTGCAAAACTTATACAGTGTTTTCATGAAATTATAACATAAAGAGCAAGAAAAGAGTAAAATGGAAAATGTGAAGGCGGCGTATATGGCACAGGCACTTCGAAAAGATCCCAGAACACTCCCTATTACTTCCTTCCAAAAGATTATGTGCTCATTTTTATGAACTACAGTATGAGAAATATAAAAAAAACAGGTGTAGCTTTTTTTATACCAGGGAAGTCAAAGGGTTAATTATTTTCTTTTGATTCAGTCATATATGTCTATGTGTTAATGTTCTTTCTTCTATTCAGTCATCTACATTGAACATATATTTATTTTATTAATTAAAACTATACAAATAAAACAATGTCGATTAATTTTTTTAAGTGTATTATTATTTAAGCTAGATATTGATGATTATATTTATTCAATAAATTAATTGAATAACTTTTAAATATTGAAAAATGTTCATAATTAATATTAATATATTTACTAATATGAAATTTATAATTTATTTCTGATGTCATTCGAATATTAATAATGGTGAATGTTGCAGATGATCAGTTTGCACAATTGTCGATGTCTAGCCAAAATATTATGTTAAAAGTAGATTACAATGTTTCGAATAAAACTCAATAATTTTCCCACTATGATCATTTTATCTATGATTCTTCTATATTGTTTTTATTATTCAACATATTTTATGAATCTCTTTTCAAACATAAAACTCTAATGATATGAATATTTTTTATTCTATTTTTGAGAATAGAAGGACTTTCCTGAAGTTACATGATTCTTGACGGATTAATTTGAAAAGATTTAAAAAATACATTTTAAAATTTATTTCATAATGCAACTCAATTATTTGGTTCAGTGTGTATCAACTTCAAGTAATTATAATCTAATAATAAATAATTTTTATTACTCATTAAAATATTTCAACAAAATCTTTTTATTCAATGATCAAAACAGAGAAGATCTTGACTTTTATTTTTATTTCTCGATTTTTTATTTGACAAAAAAAAGTTTTATTTAACAAAAAAATTTTTTCTTTTTTCAAAATCTAAATTTCATTTACAATATTATTTCAAATTTTCCAATTCGATTATTAAGACTATCAGCAACATAAAGACTTCTTTCGTCATCAAAAGATAAACCAAAGGGAAACTTGAATTGATTTGATTGTTGTCCTGCACCATTTCCACCAACAACAATTTCACCTTCTTTTTTTCGTTCACACCAACGCATTACTCGATCATTCCAATAATCTACCACATAAATTTGACCCAATTGATCAACAATGACTCCTTGAGGTGAAGACAATTGATTAAGATTCCCTCCTTTATCATTTCCTCCAGCTACAATTTGTCCTTCTTTTGCACCTTTTCTCCACTTCATTACACGATGATTGTTTTGATCTGATACATAAACACATTGATCTTCATCAACAAACATAAATGTAGGATAATCAAGTTGATTGAGTTTATGTCCTTCTCCATTTCCACCTGCTACTACAATTCCTTCGTTGTTAAATTCTCCCATTTTCCATCGTCTCACTTCATTCTTCTGCCAATTAGAAACATAAAGGAATCCATGAATATCCATTGCTAAGCCATAACAAGCAATATTTTCAATTAAGATTTCTTTATTTTGATTCATCCATTGAACCACTCGTCTGTTTCCCAAATCAGCAATGATGATGGAATAATTTTGTTGATCAATAATTACATCTGTTGGATGATACAATTGATCTATTCGGTTTCCTTTTCCATTTCCACCTGCAATGACTAGCCCTTCTTTTGCATTATGTTTCCATTCAACAATACGATCGTTTGAATAATCAGCAATGAAAACATTTTTGTTTTTGTCAATAAAGATTCCGTGAGGAGAATGAAGTTGATTCAATGCTTGTCCTTCTTTAATTCCACCAGCTATTGTTGTGGCATTATTTTCCCATTTATTGAATATTGATTCTAGAAAAAAAAAAGAAAAGAAAAGATTTGGATGAAAAGAAAAAGAAGAAAATTCTGTTTTTTATCGAAGAAAATATTAATTCAATGAAACTTTAATTCTGTTTTTGTCAAATTTGAATTTTCAAAAAGAATTTTGTTAAAAAACCATATTATTTGAAGTTTTATATTTGAAAAAGAAATTAAATTCTTATCAAAAGAGTTTTAATCACAAAAAACGTTTTGTTGTATTTTTGAATATGGTTTATTAAAATGAAATAACGAAATATTTTTTTTTAAAAAAAAAAAGCGTTTGAAATTTATGTTTTTTAAAATCGAAATTTCGACGAGAAAGAATTTTTACTGAAAGAGAATTCACCTTTTGAAACAAACTGACAAATATTTAATTTGAAAAGAAAAGAAATGAAGTTGAAAATGAGAAAAGATTTTCTTGATCTTTTTTGTCAAATAAATTTAATTTTCTATTTCTATTAATACTATTTTTATTCATT